AATTTGGGGTATTTTGAGTTTGAATTTGGCCAAACGAATTACGGAATCGGAATCAGGACGTCGAAAAACATAAAGTATGACTTTTCGAAAATTCAGATTTTTGGTCAAAGTCAAAGTCAACTACTTTGACCGTCGATTTGGAGTCCTTCGGGTTTGAATTTGACAAAACGGACAGCAGAAACGGATTTGGAACGTCGAAAACTATCAGGATAGGTATACTCGGAAAAGATTAACGGTCGTTTAATGCTCGGTCAAAGCCATTTTAAGTTTTGGTCAAAGAAAGTCAACGGTCAACGGTCGGGTCGGGTCAACGGTCGGGTCGGGTCGGTCGATCGGGTCAGACCGGTCAAACCGGTTCGAACCGGTCGAAACCGGTCATAACCGGTTGAAAACCGGTTAAATCGGTTTCCAGCAGCCACTCGCCCTGCGGCGGCGCGTGTGACGCGTGAGGCGTCCTCCGGGGCCCTAAAAATCCCAGAAAAATTTCTAAAAATTATTTTGAGCGATTTCGAGATACTTACAACGATCGGTTCAAATTTTTGAACGGCGGAGAGCTCGATTTCAAATCGGCCGAATCTTTGACTGTACCACCTCCTCACGCGCCGCCGTCTACGGCGGACAAGGTTGACACCGGTGAACTCGAAACGACACAAGGAACACGATGGTGCAGGAGGTGTCGTAAACTGAGCAACGATCGGCGGTGAATTTGAGATTTTCTCGGCGATAGAGCTAAAAAAAAACGTCGATGCTTTGACTTGAAATTCCTGACGTTTAGCAGCGTTTCGCTTCAATTAATTTAAGGGGATTGTTCCTGACTCGATAACGAACACGATGGTGGTTTCAATTTGACGATCGGATGTCGAACGGCGTCAGAATCGGACTTGAAAGTCGAGGTGCGGGAGGAGTGAAAATTTAAGAAAAGCTTTTGTGTTTTCTGATTGAAATCAGAAAACACGTTAGTTATAACCAAACCTGCCGACACTTTTAGGGGAAATTCAGGGCTTGGTCCCTGGATTTCCTTTACTTTGAAAATGGCATACAAGTTTTCATAAATTATACTTTAGTCACTTAATTTCACCCATTTTCACAATTTACCTCCAATTTCAATTAATATTATTTTGTAAATAGTCGGGTTGTTACATTAAGTTTAAGATTTTTTTCATTTCGAACTTTTTTGAGCTCTAATAAGCTTTAATTCATGATTTTGAGTTCAAGTCTAGCTTGAAAATTTCAGGCTTGCGAGTTTTCGAGCTGAGTCGAGTTTTGTTTAGAGCTTCTGAGTCGAATCGAGCTCAACAATAATCAAACTTAATAATAATCGAGCTCGACTCGGCTCGTTTACAACCCTACCTACCACTATTTGTCAAAGGACTTCTTCTTGCTTTACAAAACCAAATTCCTAGGCTTAGGACATGTGGGTTCTCACCTTATACAAATCTTACACAAACCCTTATCTAGTCATTCCTACATTATTTTTATTCATATTTTTAGTGAATATTTTTCAAATGGTCAGTCTCGATCGTCTATTTGCATTTATAAAATTATGGGTGAAATTAAAAATTTATTCATTTGTCAGAAATATAATTTTTTAATTGAAGGCGATAAAATTTTATTTTATATATTTCATATAAAATATAAATTTTCAGTATTAATTAACATCAAAGACTTAACTAGCCAGGACCAAGGTTCCTGCTGGTCACGACTTAGTTTCGTCCCTACATTAAATAATCCTAAATCTATATAAAATTAAAAAAAAATATATGTTATATAATTGAATCTCATCTCTAAGGTTATATATAACCCCTAAAATCAAACAAGTTAGATGTAATTGACGTTTTATTTCATGGTCTTGTCGGCTATGGTGTCAACACTGAACATATGTCTCACATTATTTTACGGTAAATTATGTGTTTAGTATCTAAACTATCAATTTTAGTTTTATTTTAGTACCTAAACTTTTAATTTTGTCAAAATTTTACCTGACGTTTAGTTTTTGTTTTATTTTAGTATCTAGCCGTTAAAAACTTAATGCGTTTAGTACCTAGACTATCGATTTTGATTCGCTTTAGTACCTAAACTTTCAAAATAAATTCAAAACTTAGAGTTATGTTTTTAATGGGTACTAACATGAAACAAAAACTAAACATTAAACGTTAAGTATGATTTTGAAAAAATTGAAATTCTAAGTACTAAAACGGATCAAACCTGATAGTTTAGATACTAAACGCATAGTTTACCCTTCATTTTATTTATTTATTTACATTATGTGCTTTGAGATGTCCGCTTTGTTTTGCACTTGACAACTCAGACCATTTCACTTTCTTTACTTTTATAATACCATTAATTAATCAACACAATTATCATGATTAATCAAAATATTTATCGATGTTAACTAAGAATGGTTTTTAATATTAAATTTAAGTGAAATTTATCTTGTTTTATCTTAATATTTATATATATATATATTATAATATTTAAATTAAGCATCTTTCTTTTTGCCATCTTCATTCTTCACTTCACTCTTTCCTTTCCAATCATCTTTTCATTCTTCAATTTTTGAAAATAAAAATCTCAATTCGAAAGAAATTATTTTCAAATTAAATCGGGTCAATTTTCGAATTTAGAATTCTTTAAGCATCATTGATATTGACGGTTCAAACTAATAATACACTATAGAATTCGATGACAAGGTTATGTCAAATTAAAATATAGAGATTAGATATGAAAATTATTATAATTAAGGGACCATTAGCATAATTTACCCAATAATCAAGCAAAGTGAAAAATAGTAAAATACACCAAACCACATATATACCTCCTACGTCTCTTTGCTATCCTTCTTCTTCATTGGATTTCTTTCTTTCTTCTTCTTCTTTACATAAAAAGCTTAAAAAATCCTCATGTTCCCGTTACTAATATCATGTTTCTCACTTCTCAGTCATTCTTCTATCAAAGTCTTTGGCTTCAAAGACCCACCAAAGGATTCACTCCAAATGGGGATTGTTTCAAAAGGGTAAGCTTGGAATCTTGAGTTTCCTTCAAATCACCCCGTTGAAGAAGATGAAGATGAAGATGAAGCTTGGGTCGTCGGAGAATCAAAGCGAATACCACAATACGTCGTCTTCGTCTTCGTTGCTGGACTTGCCGGAGCTGACACTCGAATGCATTCTGGACCGCCTTTCACCCGCCGGTCTGTGCGCCATTCCGGAGTCTTCTCGTCGTTAAGGGATCGTTGTACTTGCGACCATTTATGGGAGAAACACATGAAGAGAAAATGGGGTGAAGTGATTGGGGATGCAGCTTATAGGGAATCGTAATGGCATATTGCTTCAAAAATGAGACCCAAAAATCTCTTGGGTCGAAGTAACCAAAGAAGCTTCATCGGTTCCATTTCTGAATTCTTCCCTTTTCTCTCTCGGTTTAGCTTTGAACCCGGAACTGAAAATGGTGAGAATCAGCTCAAGAAAAGTGGTTTGCCTGTCCATTCGACCATGGCTTGGTACCTGAATCTTGAAACCGGTGAATTCTGGTTCCCAGCTCAAGTTTAAAACCGAGAGGTAATATTAAGATCGTTTCATGTTGCTGATAGGGTGAATATTCGAACGAATTGAGTAAAAAAATTTAAAATTAGTCAATTTTTTAAAATCACGAGTCGAGTCGAGGTTTTTAATGTTAAATTGGGTTAAAAAATTCGATTATTTTCCTCGTAACTGACTTTTCTTCAATCCTAATTACTGATGAAACATTGATTTGGGTGAACTAATGATGTTTGTGACTGTTTTGCAGAATGGACATGCTGGGTTTATGTTATCATGTTATGATGCCAAGCTTAGCTATGATTCCAAGACTGATACCTTTCAGGCAAGGTAATTTATTTCAAGGCATATATGTGATATGTCTGTAATCAAAATAGATTCCGACCCGAAAATGCGATCACAATTTAAATCTCAGGATTAACTTCGACATCTGTACTCTTTTTCAGGTACTCGCCTGACGGACGGCGGATGACCGAGGAGAATATATCGTGGGATAGGCTGAGAGTTCCGCCCGTCGATACTTGTTCATATGATCTTCACAGTTCGGATTCGTTGCTTGATTTGAAACCTGGTGACCATATCGAGATCCAATGGAGAAAAACCAAGGAATTCCCCTATGGTGAGTTTTTCCTATTCGATAGCCAGATTGCATCTCTGTTGTTTCGAAGTCGAGTTGAATTTGGACTCTAAACATAAGACTCGAAATCGAAACTTGAATACTTGTACTTGTTAAAGACAGTATGGTAAAGATGTGTGAGCTTGATTTCATTGCAGGGTGGTGGTATGGCGTTGTTGTTCACATGGAATCATGTGGTGGGACTAAGACTCATTGCCGTTGCCTATATACAGGTAAGGAAAAAATCACTCTATCCGATTTGCAGCATATCGAGATCGAAGTTTGGGGTTAGGCGAAAGATTACAGATGTCGGGAGTCATTCTATGACTCGCGAGTACTTTGAAGAAAAATGAAAAGTCGGAGCAATATAGCCGGCATTATATATTCTTAACGACGAGTTTTAAAGCAGAGGCATTGTATTTTTGTTGACACAGACACAGTGATGCTGACATTCAAGCAGTACCTGTCGAGCTCGAGATGGCGGAAAACATCGATAAACAGGAAAGATCATAGAGAAGTAGGCAATGAAGCTGATGGGTTTTATGGTGGCATTAGAAAGCTTTACAAAGAAGAAGAGATCTCTAAGTGGAAACGTCTGTCCTAACCATATGTTAGAGTAGAAAATATTAATGCCATTGCCACTTCAACCTCTGTACGGTTATGCCAATACCATTTTTTTTGGTTCAAGATCTTTGGGATAGCCACAACGACTCCGAATAAGTTTGGAGCCGAGCCAGGTCGATCCTGATTAACGGGTATCGAGCTCATTATCACTCGATCCAGCTAGAGATTGGTCGTTGCCGATTTTCTCCTTCAATTGTTAATGAGAGAAAACGAAGAGTAGAATGACCAAAATGCAAATTACAGATTCAACTGTGTACCAAAGTGCAAGACTGCATATTATTCAATCTCTCAAATTATTCAGACAGATCCTCAAAACATCATAGCTTTGACCAACTTTTAACAGCTCATTTTGTTCCCTTATATAACAGTAGATCCATAAGAACATCTCATATAATTTGTGCAAGGGAATTCCAATTCTGTAACTTATTATTATGAAACACCAGCAGTTTACGGATTCGGTTTAAGGTATATATGGTAGATGATACTACACCGTGCTTATGTCAACTCGGCTTTTCTGCAGCTGAAAGGCAGGTGTGATCCAGCTTCCACAACTGCATTGGATGCCTGACCAATTGAAATAACCCAAGCGAGCATCGCAATGAGCGCACGACAACTTCCCCTCGATCCCACCTTCTTCAACTGCGTGACACCGGAAATCAAACAGCATAACTATTGCTTCAATTTACAATCAAGTGGGTGGACATGACATGATTCGATTCATAAGTAAAATAGATCCAATATGACTAAACGGAAGTGTTTTCTCACCGATTGTCATCCACCGCAAGGGTTCAACAAATATCGATGAACACTCGGATTGAGCAGACTTGTTGAAAGGATTACCACTTCTCCGTTTATGCCACTCAAAAGATGTCTCACCCTCGCCGGGAGTATGATCAACAACATTTTCCTGCAATGCTACAATTCTTCTGCATTTCTTGCAACGGTATGCAATGCGGTTAATACCTTCTTTTGGAGATGCCTCAACAACAGAGGAACTTTCGATAGGCAAGCCGGGATCAGCACCTAATTTAGAACTGTCTATTTTTTCTCCTCGGTTATAACAATCACCTGAAAACACAATACAGAGAAGACCTATCTCAAAGGATGATAATCGCAGAAGAAAATTTTCCATTTTTTCAGTCAAATTCACGACAAGGATTATATACACTAGTAATAACGAGTTCAATCATGCAAGATGGAAGTTAAAATGTTCAGATTACAGATAGGGAGTGTACCCAAAACTTTCAAGCGAAATCGCTTGTATATTGGGCTAGCGTGATCAACCTTGTAACCCATTCCTTCAAACATTTTCAACTGCAATATCGGACAAATTGGAAACTCTTTAAGAAACTAGAATCATTAGCCACAATGATATGCCTCAAAATATAAATCAGTTAGTTTTACAGTGTCCCTTTCCGTTACCTGCTCTAAAAACCCATCATTAGGGCAAACAAACTGGCAACTTAGCTTTAGAGATTCAAGGGCATCTGCAAGAATGGAAATGAAAAGTTTCATTTAAATATCATATACAAAGTCATTTCAATCTCACCAGTCAAAAGACCAAAAAAAGACAGGATCCGAATATCTTAAAATGAAGTAATAATAGCAGCCAGCATGTGTGAAATTTGGACCCACATTACTCCCAAATAAACAGAAAATTTGTTCAAACCTTCTTGAGATAGTTGCTCGGTTCTCATCAAATATGCCATAATTATAGCCGCACTGCACACAAACATGCAAAAAAATGTGTAAATCCTGAAGGCTTGATAATTAAGGGAACTGGAATATCTCTTACAATGTATTAATGTTTTAGAGATTTTCTTATAAGCATTGGAACGTTAGAAAAATATTCAAGCGTAATATATAATATACATTTTTCCCCATAGGAAGTAGTCTTAATGCAACTTCTGGAACCATTTGAACTAAAGACTGATCCCATTAATTCCCTCAACTTGTATTATGTAAAGTGAATGCAAATCATAGTAAGTTGGCACTAATCTAAAATTAAAAGTTTAATAGCTACAGCTGTTAATGATACGTAGATTTTATGTCACAAATGGGGAAAAGGAAATACTAACACTAAATACAAACCTTCAAAACTTTACCATACAGAATGAAATAACATGAATCAAACTAAAGGAGAAAAAAAAAGAAATTATGATCATTTCCTTTCTTCTCCTCAATGGCCAGATTAGAAAGGTTATCGAGTAAAATGCTATGTAATCATATGTTCTCAAACTAGTATTCTAAGTGAGCCTATTCAAGTAGCGTAAGAAGATGACACTAAAGAATGTACATGTACCTTCTTGACACTCCAGCAAAGCAATGCACCAAAACAGATCCCTCTTTTCTGCTTTGATCAATGAAATCAAGACCTGGGTCTAGGTAATCCAACAAATTCTCGCTCTCCATATCTCTAATTGGCATTGCCATTCTCACCAGTTTCAAATCCTTCCCTGCATATTCCAACAAGTACAACAGCTTCTGGGGTGCCAAAGAACTCTTAGAATCATCATGTGAATGATCCGCGGGAGCTGCAGCATCACGAGACCCACCTACATATACCTTTTTAATTTCCTTGGTAGGGATTGTGAGACCACTACGCCATTCAGAGAAAAATGATATTGATGCAGAGCTCAGAACAGATAGAATGTGTGTGATCTCTGTGCTACCATTTTGCAAAACTTCAGCAGCATCTCCTATGTTTCCAATAAATAGATTCTCACGAATAAGGTGCATGACCACCAACCACAAATGACCGTTTGTATTAAAATATTGTGCCCTTTTGATTTGCTCTCCTGCAAAAATATATAATACATAAATATATTAACCAATGCCAAAGTGTAACGAGAGAAAAAGGATAAGGTAATGCACTCAAACGATGGGAAAATAGCATTCTCTTAGGGAAGGATTATTGGAATGTATATTTGACCAAATTGTCCTTATTATATATTTTTTAACAAGTTGGAAAATATTTATAATTTTTTAAAAAAAATTAAATTCATAAAATTTATATAATTTTTTTTACAAAATTAAAAATATAAAAAGGTTTAATGGAAGGGTAAAAATTTATTTTAACCCCTGAACTTCATATAAAATTTTAATTATAGACTTTTTTTGTAAATCTAAAATAGTTTAAGGATAAATTTGTAATTTAACCTTCGTAGAATTTTTATTATTCAATGACAGAAGAATGATATTTTTGAAATAAAAAAAAAATTAAGGGCATTTTAATCCAAAACACCGGTAATCCAACAATACCTAAGGAAAGGGAGATAATGACATTCCCGGTAATATACTCCAAAAAATCCACTATTGGTAATGTAAGATTACCAGGAATAACATTCCCGGCCAACCAAACGGGGGAATGTGGATTTCATTCCCATGGGAATCTCACATTCCTCCAACCAAACACACCCTTAATGCATTAAGTACTACAAGTTATTGAAAATAACCAATTAAGGGTAACCTCCAAAATGAAAACCAAACGCATTGAGAATTATTTATCATTTACCAAAAAACACCTAACTATTTCATTTTTAACGTTCATAACCAATGGAAATATGAAAATAAAACACTATTATTTACTGAAGTCAGGTGACAAAAGCAAGTTCTTTTGCAAAGTGAAAAAATTGTTTCAAGTTTGCATTTTCCTCCAATTTTCCTTTGTTTTCTCGGTTACCAAACAGGAAGTGAACTAACTGTAGTCAAATGAGAGTAATGTTAAGATAATATGTCCAAATGATGAAAAACAAATACCATTCCCTGAATGCATTAACTACATGTTATTGAAAATAACCAATTAAGGGTAATCTCCAAAATAAGAAACCAATCGCATTGAGCAATTACTTATCACACCAAACAGCACTTAATTATTCCATTTTTAACATTCAAAACCAAAGAACTTGAAATGCTAACTGAACTCAGATGACAAAAGCAGGTTGTTTAGCACAGCGAAACAATTGTTTCAAGTTTCCATTTTCCTCCCACTTTTGTTTACTTTATTGGTAACCAAACATGAAGTGAATAAACTGTAGTTAAATGTGAGAAATGATGAGGTAATGTAGTCAAATGATGAATAAAAATAGCATTGTCCGAATGCATTAAGTATCACGTGTTGTTGAAAATAACCAATTTAAGGCTAATCTTCCATATGGGATTGACAATCACTTATCATTTACGAAACAGCACCTATCTGTTCCATTCTTAGCATTCAAAATCAATGAACATAAAACACTACCCTTTACTAAACTCAGGTGTCGCAGGTTCTTTAGCACAGTGAAACAATTGTTTCAAGTTTCCCTTTCCTCCAATTTTTGTTACTTTATTGGTAACCAAACAAGAACTGAACGAATAGTAGTCAAACGCGATAAATGGTGAGGTAAGGTGGTCAAATGATGAATAAAAATAACATTGCTTGAATGCTTTAAGTATCACGTGTTATTGAAAATAACCAATTTAAGGCTAATCTCCTATATGAGATTGACAATCAATTATCATTTACCAAACCACACCTAACTGTTCCATTCTTAACATTCCAAACCAATGAACATAAGAAACAATCGTTTTCAACTTCCCATTTTCCTCCGATTTTCCTTAACTCTAGTGGTAACCGAATGAGAAGTGAACTAATTGTCATCAAGTGAGAGACAATATTGTAGTCAAATAATGAAAAACATGTCATTGCCTGAATGCATTAAGTACCATATACTATTGAAGAAAAAAACTATCTCGAAAATAAGATCGAGAATCACTTATCATTGCCCAAACAGAACCTATTTGTTCCGTTTTTAACATTCAAAGCCAATCAAATTAAACTACCAACTTAAGTAACTCAGACGAACAAAAGCAGGTTCTTTGGCACAGTGAAACAATTACTTCAACTTTCCATTTTCCTCCAAACACTACTTTCTCGGTAACCAAACAGCTTGTAAACTCCTTGTCTAGTAAAAACAACAGCCCAACCAGCAATCCAAAAAATACATACAGAACAATATATATATATATATATATATTCACACGCACACACAAAAACTTCTAATTCGTATGCCAAAAATAACAAATCAATAATCTGTTCCGTTTCCCCTTTACTACTGTATAGTTAAATAAGAATCTAACCTGAGAAAAAGGAATATTCCGGCGAGAAAATCTGATCAGATTTCCCCTTTTTCTTTTGTTATTAGCTTGCGTTTAAATACGCTTTGACAGGCCTGAGGGCCATTTAATGTGAAAGTACAGAGTATGAAGAACGCGAATGACACGTGCGGATAAGTTCTTCGTACGTGCGAGAAATTATTTGATTACAAGCGAATCGGTTCGGGTTGATAATCGGAGGACAAATGGGCCACTCGGAAATTTGGAGGATTGGGCCGGAAGTGGGGTCCATAAGAGGTTTCGGTTTCGGTTTCAAACTATGGAGGTGGCAGGCGGCGCCAATTCATTAAGATATGCGTTAAATTTGATCCCAATCACTTCTTCATGGAGCACAAATCGAGGTCGGATCTCGAGTGGAGATTCCTTTGTTTTCGGGTCCGGTAGGATGAATTAAAAAATTCGATTTAATCCGACCCATGGTCATCCCTAATTGGGATAATTTTATCTTATGATGTTTTATTAGTATGATTTTTATAATTTATTAAAATGAATAATCAACCAATAAAATAAAAAATTTAATATTTTTTAAATTTTTATAATATATTGCTACATGTAAGTTATAAAACAAACTAAAATTAAGAAAAAAAATAAGAAGGGCAATTATGTCATTTTACATTACTGAAATCAAATTCATCTAACATGTCTGCGAACCGAACATAATATGGAATTGAATTCCAATTCAATTTCCTGCCAATCAAACAGGTTTCAGATTCAGATTCCAATTCCTACAGATTCCAATTCATTTACAGATTTCAATTCCCTCAGAAACATTCCAGCGAACCAAACGCCACCTTAGAAGTGTTAACATTCCATATAAAAAAATATCATTATAAAATTTACAAAAAAAATATATATATATAATCTTTTAGATATTTTACTTTTATATTAACTTATAATTTTACTATTCTTTATGAAATTAAATTGAAATCTTATAACTTTCCGGTCATATTTGCCGCCGGTGGTGGCGGAAACAAACAGGTACAATTTGCTGTAGAATTTGCATCATCATCCCTGCCACAGGCAGAGAAAAAAAATATTAACGAAAGCTACCAAATAAGGGATATATAAAATTTCTACAGAGTAATAAAATTATCTTTAAATTAGTGGTTTGCTGCAAATATATTAAATTTCTTTTATTTTTTTGGTAAATTATGTATTTAGTCAATCTTTTATTTTTATGATTTCGTTTTTATCAATCAATTAACTTTGAAAATTATATTTAACGTTTCGTTTTAGTTTTATTTTAGTCACACATTGTTAAAAAATAAACAAAACTATTGATGTGGTATTTTTTTTTACATTTTAAAGATGATGTAACATTACCTTATGGTGACATCTCATTACCAACATTAATGTTTTAGTGACGTGTGACAAAAACGTGAAATTAGTCATGATGTAAAAAAATTAGTAGTGTGACCAAAGCGAAACCGTGAGAATAAATAGATGACTAGATACTTGGTTTACCCTTTTATAATAGGAAAGAATGTTTCTTTTATTAACTAGTTTAACTGAATTGAATTGGGAATGGAAAATCATTTTTGGTTGTATTTTTAAAGTAGGTAAAGTATGGAAATGATCACTGACTATAAGATTTTTTTTATTGAGTCCTTCAATTATTAAAAGTTATAAAATGATTTTCTGATTATAGGGAGTTATTTTGTTGAATCTTCCGACTATTAAAAGATACAAAATGGTCACTTGAGTGTTCATATGTTGAACACTCGTCCTTTTGCGTTAAAAAAATGACGATTGTCTTAACTGTACATTGACCTAGTGACTGGATACGATAAAATTATACTTTAGTGATGTTTGCTAGCACTGTCCTTTCTTTCAAGCATGGCTCAACTATATAGTGTAAATAGAGATTCGGTCCACAAAATACAACTCAAACAGGTTTAGGATTAGAGTTTTATCTTATCCAAATGAACATGTTAGTGTCCAGCTCAGGCGACCGCCAATTCTTTAACGAAAATGATGAGTTTGAATATTACCGTTAAAATTGGAAATGCTCATATAGGAAAATTATGAAAATACCCTTAAGATACAAATATGACATGATATACCTCTGATAGTGGAAATAACATGAAAATTTATATTTGACCTAATATAAGCCTTGCATAATTTGTTTAAGTTCTTGATCTGCTGGAAAAGGACTCGAATAACTCGTATAAGAGACTAGAAGACTGATAAGAAATTATTCAAGTTTAGTGGTTATTCGATAAAGTAATTAACCTCAGAATTCTTAGATTTTAATATCTCTCGTTAAATAGTTTTTATGCCGGAAATATAAGAGTAAGAAACTATGCCTTGTGAGATAAAAATGACTCGAAATGACCCTAAAAGTGGAAACAGTGCTTAAAAAAGCCATTCTTGATCTGATGAGCTACTAAATCTCCTGTTAAATATTCAATATGTTCATAAAAATCTTAGTAACCAATTTTAACCTCTTAGATGTTAAAGGACTTAGAATTTTTCGATTATGGAATTAATAATCACCCGATGACTAAATTTACTGGAAATGATTCACACGATTGAATCTAAGAGAATGATTGAAATACTCTTGAAGATTGAAATGACCAAAATGCCCTTGAACCTGTATGGGCCAAAATACCTTCAACTCCAAATTAACTAAAATAACCTCGAGTGCTGAAATGACCTAAATACATCTGCATTAAGGGAAATGCTTGTGTATGAGTTTTATAGGTACAACGAAGCTTTAAATGTTGTGATGACACCAAAGGTTTTGAGTACAACCTAAGTGTGTCGGTCACCTACTCACCTTTGCTACTATTACAATATTTGGAAGGAATATCGTCTGAATACATATCTGCCTTCTCGAGTTATGCTAATAATGGGTTATAAAGGTGATTTGTTCAAGTATTTAAGCAGTCGATAGTAAGAAATGAATATTCATGAAGTATTTATGTCTGAATAATCGGTAAATACCATGTTATTGAAGCCTGGTTGGTTCGATATGACTTAAAAGCCTAATAATCATTAAAAATTTAGAATATCGTAAATTATTGTTTTATCCTCTTTGACCAAATTACCATTTTTCTCCATGTAGCAAAATAACTAAAATGCATCTATGGTCTGAGTAATGGAATCACTCCAATTACGGCTCTGATCAAGCTGGTAATTCATTACGGCCATATGGTGACCCTTGGGTAGGCTCTAAGTCCCCAAGGTACTCCCTTGGGTTGGCTCTATGGCCCCAAGGTACTGTCTTAGATTGGCTCCTACGCCCAATGGGTCTAGAGCAAGTTTGTATGGATGCAGTTCAGGGGAACTACATATGGAGTGTTTGGTTGGAGTGTATTATTGTGCTTTTAAAAATATGTTTTACTAAAATAACTACTATTTATGATTTTATTGGAATACACTAGACTCTCGAGCTCCATCTTTTGAATATATCTCTGAACAATTCCTTGGAACTATAAGCTTCCTGACTGTTACTGAAGAATTAATTAGTGAAACCTCAACTCATCTCTATGTCATGTATATGCATGGATATCTAAGAAAATTTCATGTTTTATCATATATCTGCTTGACCTTTAACATCATCTGGTAGGTCACATTGTGTTTTTATATAAGTGTATAAAACTTGTTTTGATATTGTATATTTTTTTAATTCTGTTTTAACGTCAAAATGATTCTTGAACTTGTATTTCATTTATAAATTATTTTACGATTTGAAATGGTTTAACAAAATTTTTAATTTTTCATAGATTTGATTGTGGGTCGCTCCGGTGGCCTTAATGTGATACCTCGGATCGGATCAAACCACTTATATCTATCTAGGGGTGTTACAGATACGTCCCAAAACGTCTCCAAAATTCTCTCTAACGTACCCAACTAATTCTAATCACACCCCTTCAATATGGCACGTCCTCGATGCGGTAACTCAATATCATTTTAAGCATCCAATAAGTCCTCTAAATGGGTACGTGATGGATACAATTTAGATACGTACTCATTCCATACACACCTCGGACTATTATTATAGTCTTTAGGAATTTATTATTTATAAAAGCATAAATGGCTGTCCCTTTTTCCCATATATATGGGGTAAGGGGGAGGTAAGATAGTAGGTTACCCCCAACACCAGGTTGAGAGTAGCTTCCGTAAGAGATCTCCGAATTATGAAATGCCCTCCGTGGGACTCGATCCCACGACCTCAAGGTTAAGAACATTGTGCTCTACCAACTGAGCTGGATGGTCATTTCATTATTTATAAAAGCATCTTATATGCAAATGAAATGTAACTATTCGGAAAATGTCAAAATTATTATCGGACTACTATCATATTTTTTATTCCCAAAGATAGGTTCAATTTATATTTTATATAAATATTATTTTTTATTTTTTAAATATCAATTTTAAATAAATTATTTCAAATTAGAGAGTAGCACATGAAAGTACATTAATATATTGGTTGATACAAATTAATAACATTATAAAACTTACAGAAAGTACATATAATCTTTCAAACACTCCAAACACAATATAATAGAGAGAGAAAACACAACAGTCCGAAAATCAGTGAATCTTTAAGCTTGTTCAAGCAGAAGAATTGAATTATAAGTCTTTAGATAGATCAAACTATAATTTTATTTTCTTTGACGAACTCAAACCGAAATTTTACCATTTTGGGGATGTACGTACCGCTCCTGGTGGCGAGCATGTAGACTTTGCGATTTTATCCCTACCACAGACAAGAAAATCTATTAACCAGGGTGATCGTATAATAACTATTAGGGTAAATTACACATTTAGTATCTAAATTATTAGTTTTAGTTTCTTTAGTATTTAAACTTTCAATTTTTTAAAAATTATACCTAACGTTTAGTTTTTGTTTCATTTTAGTACTCACCGTCAAAAACTTAACACGTGGTACCTACATTATCAGTTTTAGTACCTAAACTTTCATTTTTTTTTAAAACTCAACGTTAAATTTTGAACGGGATTACTAAAATGAAATAAAAACTAAACTTTAAATATAGTTTTGAAAAAAATTGAAAGTTTGTATACTAAAACAGACCAAAACTAATGGTTTAGGCACTACACGTGTAATTTACCCTAAATATTATATAGTTTTAACATGATAACATCCATAATTACGACATCATAATCATATATAGAATTATGACTATAACTATAATGTAGTACTATAGATTTAAATGATTAAATCAAAATCAGAAAGTGTAATCCTATTAATTCAAATTTTGATCCGATTTATGTCTTAAATTGTGATTTAAACGGGTAAAATTGATCAAATAGTGTTTTGATAAAAATATTTCCTCATATAGATGGTAGGAAAATTATTTTCCCGTGTGTTAATGTTACACTGTCCTATGGAAGACGTCCGAAAGGCCTGACAACCGGAAAACGCTCAAAAGACTCGACGATTTCTAAAAGATTCATGAAAGATCGTGTCGTCCGACATGCATGTAACTTGCAGAAATCGTCGTATTTTCTGAGCGTTTTCTAAATGTCGTCAGATCTTCGAAATGTATTGACAAGGGAATATTATATGAGAATTTTTTTAAAAAATAATTATTTGACCAATTTTTGTCAAATTCTACGAATTAGTAACGATTGCAAGAGTAGTAGGTAGACGAAATCTTACTTGACTGGATACATGGTGTAATAAGTCTGAAGAGCACTGAGAAGAAGTGCAACAATGGCGCCCACAGTTGCATAGAAAATACGACTAGAGGAGTCTTTATAATAGTTTCGAAAGGCTTGCATTGGATAATTGATGGATTGATAGCCTTGCATGGCACTACTGATCCAAAAGTTCCGACGATGATTCTCGACCTGCAATTTCACGTCGGAGTAAATCATTGGATTCGGAACCAAATCAGTGCTCATCTTGTTTAACAGATTAACCACTTCTTCGTCGCTTCGCAGTCCACTGTAGAGTATCTTGGCGTCTTTCAGTTCCTTGACATCTATGTCGTTGTCAATGAGCGAATTGAGGAAGCAAATGTAGGAGGTGACAGTGTAATCGTTTTCGAAATCCGGGCACATTTCGTAGGCTATCAAGTTCATGAACTTCAGCGCCGTCGAGTCGTCCACCGTGATCGGCGGTAGACATAGCTGTCCTCTAATGAGCACGTTGCTGAAACTCACGTCGGTGAGACAGCTGGTCGAGCTCGGTTTTAGCCAAATCCCGGCGTTTCTCAGCTCCGTCACGTTACGGAACGTCTGGGGATACTGATATTGCCATCCCTCTCCCCCGCCGTTGTAATATTTCATTGCGGTTCTGAAAATCCGATCGCACCCAGATTTCTCCAACGGCTGTCGCCTCTCTACTTTCTTGAAAATCAGCCTTTTCCGAAAACGATCCAGAAGATGAACCGCCTCTCTTTCCTCCTCCTCCAGTTGGTGCTGCGACGGCGGTTGCTTTCTCATCTCTGCCGGAGCGATGACATTGTTATTATCAATGAACCTACTGATCGATTCCATGAAAACTCTTACTTTCCAGCTCGTGCTCGTAAGCAATCGAAGAACATCGTGAGGCAATTGGTTTTCCAACACGAACAGATCCAAGTACACTGACGTGAGCACATCATTCTTAATATTCATTTTGCTCCACGGAATTTGCTGTGCATGATCATCGCCTTGTAGAATAGCTTGTAAGATTGCGCATCCGTCTAGGAAGAACATCCAGGCCAGCTTCTTGTCATCGTACGGCTCCAACTCCTTCGGATCGTAGCATTTCTTCAAGCTAAAAATCTGCTTCTTGATCCTGTTGTATAATATTTTCTTTTCGACCGCAATGTTCTTCACGAAATGTGCTGCTAATCCAAGCTTTAGTTGCTCGGATTGTTTGAGATCGGGATCGCCGTGGTGGATGGGTCCGATCGAGATCACCCTCGGCTTGAAATACTTTACGAAATCTTCGGCCGTGTGTAATAGGATTGATGGGACCCTCTGGATCAATGGTTTGAGCTTAGGCTCTGTAGTGGGTTTGATTTGAGCACCAAAATCTTTATCTAAGGACTTGAGTTGCTCTAACTCATCATCGCTGAGATTGACCTCCTCCTCACGTTCGAATGAAATGATTGCATCACTGGAATTGATGTTGTTGTTGATATTTGTTTCATCAGTGGAAGCAGCTCCGGCAGCGGATCCGGCATTGGCTCCGGCAGTGGCGCTTCCTTCCTCCTTGGGCTGCATTTTTGGCCTCAACGGTTCAATGTAGTTAGCAAGTTGATCTTTGAAATTGGTATTGGCTGAGTGATATTTGCCAGAACAGAGTAAACGGTGATATCTGATGATAGCAAATATTCCTTCACGATGGACTTAAGAAGTGGACCGATATATTTAAATTTTTTTATATTTTTATTAATAATATTTTTTTTTTGTCTTTTAAAATTTTAGAAATTCATTTTGTAACGTCATTTGATTAGCGGATTCTCTTTTCTCTCAACCTAGTTTTCTTTCGATATAATTTTAATGATGGTTGTTGATCGCCGAGGAATATTGGTTCTTTTATTTTTATATTATTTTTTTTTAGTATTTTTAATTTTGAATAAGCATATATGTCATTGTGGCATATTTTTCTTTGCTCTTGTGGTACGTATTTCCTTTGCTTTTGTGGCATGATCCTCATATTTTTCTATATGTTTTTTCACATACCTTTGAGGTCATTTTGGTTCTCGCACAAAAACCATCACGACATTTATTTAGTAATTGGTTAGTCGGTGGTCACGTATAGTCATATCCCTTCTTTTGATAAAAATTCGTTTGCTTATGTAATCAGAATTGTGCAGCGAAGTAGCCTGTCAGATTATCTGGTTTGTTCATCACTCCTATATCACTTCATCAAGCGCTTCATTCGACATAGAGAATGAGTTTGTATGAAGATTATTGGGTTTTGATATTGGTCGTCATTCTCAATGGAATGTTTTAATTTTCTTCGTAATTTTAGGTTTATTATTTACTTTTGTTTGAGTATTTTGGTGGTTGTTGCCTCCAAATTTATCTCTTTATTTGATGCTTGTAATTTTGATTCATTCTATTATTAATAAAATCCTATTGACATTGTTCAATAAATAAATAAATAAAGTCAATTGTTTATCCAGGTGCTTTTCTATTTTGTAAATTAAAATATGAAAAATTATTTGTCATACATGGTCCGACTAATAAAAATCATTTATCTTATTTTTTCCATGTCATTTTTTTTCTAGTGATGAATCTTATTTTTTTTATGTAAATGTAGAATTGAATGGTTATTTGAAAATTAGTTCGAGTTCGTGTCGGGATAAATTTTTTAAAAGATAGGATCAAATTGGATTGAATTTAAGTTTAAGGTGAAAAATCACAACTCGACCCGACTTGGGTCGAGTTTATATTACTTAAAAATTTGATGTAATCTAATCCTTAATCCCTAGCATGATCTACCATACTATTCCTATTCCTAAATATTTTTTCCAATATGTATATATATATATATATATTATTCCTTTATTTTCTTCCTGGGTATCTTCTTTTTATAACTTTAAATTAAAAGGTCAGTTACACTTCACCAAACAAAATGAATCTTACTTTGTCTTAACTTTGTGGTGAAGTGTCAATTAGGCAACGAATAGTTATCACATGTGAAACACATTTTACTTTTTTAATACTTATTTTTTTAAAAAATATTCAATTTTTAAAATATGAAATAAATTGTAGACGTAACACTCTAATTTCGATTCGTTCTCGAGGATTTATGAGTTGGATGGTGGTGATGGATGATGATGGTAAAGATGATTGTATGATGTAGGAGACGAACGGAGATGATAGAGTTTTGGAATATCGATACTGTTGAGATCATGGGTAGAGTCACCCATTTAATAGAGGTGTTGATTAACATCTTAGTTCTTTTGAAAAAAAATGATTTTGTTTAGTTGACGACGACGCGAATTTTGACATTGGTTGTCAACCGTAGGTTTTATCTTTTTTTTTTAATTTTTTAATAAAAATAATTCTACATTTGTGAATTTGTTCTTTTATTGTGGAACATTTTTCGTTTCTTTCTAGGTCATTTAGTCATTCTTTTATTTGTATTCTCTCAGTTTTGAATTTGACGATGCCACGACTGATCAAGATGACATTTGTTTGTAATCTTGTTGATCTTCCATACTATGAAACCTCATATTAAATTTAGATACACAATTTCACATTAGTGGATAGTTTCTCACGACGTTCAGCTATGATTTGCAATTCTCGGTAGTCTTTCAATGGCTTAATCTCCTTTTGTGATTCATTTGCTAATGCAACCAGATTTTTTTGTATCTATTTTTTGTTCGAGTCTTTTGATTGGGTTTTTAACATTTTCCTTGTATAGTTGTTATATGACAATGTTATAGAAAAATGTCCAAATTACGTATTTAGTTTACAATTATAATTGGGTTTTTAGTTGTAATCCAATTTTTTTAGATTTTTTTTTTACTTTTATATTAACTTATAATTTTACTATTTTTGATGAAATTAAATTGGAATTTCAGACAGAAGAAAATTTATTAACGAAAGGTACCAAATAAGAGATATATAGAATTTCTACAAAGTAATAAAATTACCATTAAATTAGTGCCTTGCTGGAAATATATTAAATTTTTATTTTTCAGGTAAATTACGCTTTTTGTTCGTTGTTTTATTTTTATGATTTTATTTTTATCAATAAATTATTTTTTAAATTATATTTAACGTTTCAATCTGGTTTTGTTTTAGTCGCATATTACTAAAAAAAATAAACAAAAATGTCGATATGGTATTTTTTAAACACTTTAAATATAATGTAACATTATCTTATGATGATATCTCAATATCAACACTAATTTTTAAAGACAAGTGATTAAAACGTGACGTTAAGCGTAATTTAAGAAAAAAAATTTAGTGTGATGAATGCAACACCATGAGAATAAATAGATTACTAGATACTTAGCTTACTCTTTTTATGCTAGGAAAGAATGTTTATTTTATTAACTAGTTTAATTGAATTGAACCGAGAATCGAAAATCATTTTTAGTTGTATCAAAATAAGTAAAGTACACAAATGATCATCGACGAGTGGTTTATCAAAACCAATGTCATATATATTAATTTATATGATTTTTGGGTATTTAAATATTTCAAATTTTGAATTAAAATCGTTTTTTACTCAACCATGAATCTAATTATAATTTTTTTAATATATTATGAAAAAAAATTATTACTTTCTTTTCTCCCTTGGTATCTTCTTTTTATAACTTTAAATTAAAAGGTCAGTTATTATATTCACCAAACAAAAATGAATCTTACTTTGTCTTAACTTTGGGGGTGAAGTGTCAAATAGGCAACGAATATATATCACATGTGAAACACATTTTACTTTTTTAATATTTAATTTATTCAAATTTTAAAATATGAAATAAATTTCTTAACAAGTCTTCTTATAATAACGAACATATACTCCTGATTTGATATTATGAATAGTTAAGACTTAGTTCGATTATGACTAATAAGTAGGGATGTCATCAGGGACGAAATTAAGAATTTATTATAGAAGGGTCAAAGTATTTTTCATTTTTGATAAATACAGTTTTTTCCGTTGAGGGGGAATGGTAAATTTTTTTTATTTATTTTTAAAAAATATATTTTTTAATATTAATTAATACTTAAAAAAACAATTGGTGTGGCTAAGGCTCCCCTTAGCCCCCGTGATGTTCTACCCCGGATGTCATTAATTATGATTGAGATGAAAATGACATGAAAATAGATATTATAGATGTAACACCCTAATTTCGATTCGTTGAAACGGTAGACTTACGATGTCATAATTAAACTTTTAAACGACTAAAAATTGCACTATAAATTTTCATACTTAAAAATTTTAAATTACTTTTTAGTTAAAATCATCATTCATAATTAGGGTTGTAAATGAGACGAGATAGTTCGCGAGCTACTCGAGATCGACTCGGTCAAGGCTCGATAAATACTCGGATCGAATGGACTCTACTCGAACTCGAGCTCGACTCGAATTCTTAACGAGTCGAAATGAGCTAATTGATACTCGACTCGAAAAGCTCGTGAACAGCTCAAAAATATAATATATTAAGATTTTATTTTTTTAAAAAATAAATTATTAATAATATTAATATTTATATGTTGATTTTTTTTAAAAATACAATAAGCTTTCATGTATTTAAGGTTCAGGTTCGAGTTTTAGGATTCAATCTTGTTAAGTTTAACAATTTTTTTTTCATTTCGAACCTTTTCGAGCTGCTCACGAGCTTCAGTTCGTGATTTCGAGTTTGAGTCGAGCTTAAAAATTTTAAGCTCACGAGTTTTCGAATCGAGTCGAGCTCGACTCGGCTCGTTTACACCTCTATTCATAATATATGTTAATCAAAATATTTGACTACTCCCAACGCCAGGTTGAGAGCAGTTTCCGTGACCCTAAGATTAAGAGCATTGTACTTTACCAACTGAGCTGGATGGTCATTTTTCTTTATAAATTTAATGGCTTATATTTATGACAACTCTGAATTATATTGGGGAAAAAAATCAACACTACTTTAAATAAATATTAACACGGTCTTAAAATTCATTGACGTATATTAAAAAGAAATTGGCATCCATAATTTACCCCACCAAATGACATTCGTGATGAAAGAATTTATGTTATTCAGGACTCGGATTCGAATATTATAAATGTCAGAGATGTGAACGTTCAATATTAAGAGGTTAAGAATCATCTTTAAACATATACTGAATGATCAAAATAAGAACGATTCGAAAACTCAGTGAATAAATTAGAAAAATTGAAAGTACAAGAAATAAAATATGAAAGATAGTAGATTTATTCAAAATTTGAATTCTTTTAGATATTTTAATTTTATATTAACTTATAATTTTACTATTGCTTATGAAATTAAATTGAAATCTTATAACTTTCCGGTCATATTTGCCGCCGGTGGTGGCGGAAACAAACAGGTACAATTTGCTGTAGAATTTGCATCATCATCCCTGCCACAGGCAGAGAAAAAAAATATTAACGAAAGCTACCAAATAAGGGATATATAAAATTTCTACATAGTAATAAAAGTTATAAAATGATCTTCTAATTATATGAAGTTGTCTTGTTGAGTCATTCAACTATTAAAAGTTACAAAATGTTCTCTCAACTATTCATATGTTCAAAACTCAAAATTTCCTATTAAAATTTGACGATTGCTTGAGCTGAATGTTAACCTACTGATTGGATATGACAAAATCATATTTTAATAATGTTTACTGACATTGCCCTTGCTTTCAATCACTGACTCGATGACATAATGTTTCAAGCATTGACTTAACGACATAGTGTAAACAAAGATACGATCCACAAAATACAGCTCAAACAGTTATGTGATTAGATTTTTATCTTATCCTAGTGAATAAATTAGCATCCAGCTCAGGAGACCGTCAATTTTTTAACGAAATAGTGTCTATAATGTAACTTTTAATAGTTGCGGACTCAATAAAATAGTGTTTTATATTTGGGAGGCCGTTTTATAATTTTTCATAGTTAATGACTCAAAAAAATAACAGCCTATAATTAAATACCATTTTTGTACTTTACCCATTTAAATATATGCTTTAAAGTCTATAGTAAACTACGCATTAAGTACTTAAACTATCAACTTTAGTTCGTTTTAATAGCTAAACTTTTTTGATTTTTTTCAAAATCATAAGTAATGTTTAGTTTTTGCTTCATTTTAGTATCTCACTGTTAAAAGCTTAACGCGTTTGGTACCTAAACTACCAGTTTTTGTCTGTTTTAGTACTTAAACTTTTAATATATTTTTTTTTAAAAATTTAACGTTAAGTTTTTAACAGGTACTAAAATGAAACAAAAACTAAACTTTAGATATAATTTTAAAAAATTAAAAGTTTAGATATTAAAACAGATTAAAACTGCTAAACCTGTAGTTTACCCTCAAGTCTATGACGAATAAAAAGGGTTTGCAGAGATGAGTAAACGAAATCTTACTTTACAGGATTGATGGTGTAATATGTCTGAAGAGCACTGAGAAGAAGTGCAGCAATGGCGCCGACAAATGCTAAGAATGTCCAAGGACTGTTAAAATGTGTGTAATAAGCTTGAGCCGCATACTTGATCCATTTGTTCTCACAATGATTCTGGATTTGCCGTCTCACGTCGGAGTAAATCGTCGGGCTTGGAACCAAATCAGTGTTCATCTTGTTGAACAGTTTAGCCACTTCTTCGTCACTTCCCAGCCCATTGTACAGTACTCCGGCGTCTCTCAGTTCCTTCACATCTTCGGCTTCGTCGATGAGCGAATCGAGGAAGCAAATGTAGGAGGTGACGGTCAAGTCGTTTTCGAAATCCGGGCACATTTCGTAGGCTATCAAGTTCATGAATTTCGGCCCCGTCGTGTCGTCCACCGTGATCGGCGGTAGCCTCAGCTTTCCCCTACAGCACACGCGGCTGAAACTCACGTCGGTGAGACAGCTTGACGGGCTCGGTTTCAACCAAATCCCGGCGTTTCTCAGCTCCTTCACGTTACGGAACGTGTGCGAATAATGCCTTCCCTTGTCACCGTCGTTACAAGGTCCCATCGCGGTTCTGAAAATCCGATTGCATCGAAACCCCAATTTCTCCAAAAGGTTTTGCTTCTTCAATTTCAGCCTTTTCCGTAAACGATCGAGAAGATGAACCGCCTCTCTTTCCTCCTCCTCCTGTTGTTCAGTCGACGGCGGTTGCTGTAGTTGTTGCTCTTTCATCTCCGCCGGAGTAATGACGTTGTTATCGATAAACCTTTTGACCGAATCCATGAAACTTCTTCCGTTTCCGGAGCTCGTAAGCAATCCAAGGTGAGGCAATTGATTCTCCAACAAGAACAGATCCAAGTACACAAACGTGAGCAAATCATTCTTAATATTCATTTTGCTCTTCAAAAATTTCTGTTCATCGTCGTCTTGTAGAATAGCTTGTAAAATTGCGCATCCGTCGAGGAAGAACATCCATGCCAGCTTATCCTCGTCGTACGGCTCCACCACCTTCGGATCGTAGCAGTTCTTCAAGCTACCAATCTCCGTCTTGATCGTGTTGAACAATATTTCCTTTCCGACCCCAATGTTCTTCTCGAAATGCGCTGCTAATCGGAGCTTGAGCTGCTCGGAACCCTGGAGGGCGGGATTATCGTGGTGGATCGGTCCGATGGAGATCACCCTCGGCTTGAAATACTTGGCAAAATCTTTGGGGATGCAGAGGGTTGCTGGAACCCTTTGGATCAACGGTTTGGCCGTCGGTTTCTGCTCGCCGTCGAAAGCTTTGTCGATTGAATTGAGTCTCTCTATGTCGTCGTTGCTGAGAATGAAGTCCCTCTGTTCTACTGCAATGGCTATCTCGTGGAACTTTTCGCTTTTGGTATTGGTTTGACCGGTTGAAACCGCTCCGTCGGGGACGGTGGCGGCGGCGACTCGTTCATCCTGTGACGACATTTTCAAGCTGATTTAACAAGGTGGTTTTGCAACTGGTTTTGGCTGACCGAGTGATGTTGGATAAAACTAGCAAATGGGCAGAATATATAGGGAAATCAGAAAATATTTTTGTTTTGCTATTTTTAGAAATTAATTTAGGAATCCACTTATCATAGCTAGATTCACTTTTGTTATCTTTTATTTAAAACTAGGGTAAAGTACACAAATAATCCCTTGACTATAGAATATTATTTTTAAGTCCCTTAATTATTAAAAGCTATAAAATGGTCACTTGACTATTCATTATATATGTTCCAAACTCGTCATTTTCTGTTAAAAAATTAACGAAAGTCTGAGTTGGACGTTAACCTACTAACTCAGATATGATAAAATCTAATCTTATAATCGTTTAAGTTGTATTTTATGAATCAAATTTTATCTTATCTCATCGAATAAATTAGCGTCTAGCTTAGACGGTCGTCGTTTTTTTTAATAAAAATGACGAGTTTAATGAAAAATTTGAAATTTAAATATTTGACAAAATAATAGATACCAAAATAGAAAAAATATACAATTTAGGCATCAACTTGCCAATTAAACCTAATAATAACTATAATGTTCAAACTTTGCAAAGTCTCCAAGTTTGGAATTTGTTCTTACTTTTCCCCTTTTTTTTCTGCTTTCATTCCTTAAGAAGCCATTGTCACGACTTTATTTTATATTTTTTTATAATAATCGGTTTCTAATATATCGATCGATTAATTTGAATAATATATATATATATATATATATATATTAATTGAAGGTAAGTATAAGGTGATATCTATTTAAAGATAACTCTCAGTTATTTGACATTGAATGTTCTTACCACTGACGTTCCTAGTGCTCGAACTCGAGACCTCAAAGAGATATATTTTAGATCATCTTTCTAATCTAATTTGTTTAATTTATAATGTAAAGATTTAAATCTCCGATTTTATTTTTTTAAAAATTAAGATTTCATTTTATTAAATCAACTAATAATTAATTATTTTATATTTTTTTAATAAAGTAAAGTTGTGTTTTGGTTTTAATTAAAAAGTAATTTACTGATTCTAAACTTGCTCCAAAAAAATAATTCTTTCGTTGTTTTAACTTTAGAGGTGAAGTGTCAAGTAGGCAACGTATATATATATATATCACATAATTGCTTTGTTCATCCAAAAAAAGGGACTATTTTAGAAAAAATAGAACATTGAGTACTAAAATATATTCTTAGCACAAAAGCCTGAATTTGTAATTTCCCCCAAATAGTAAAACGATTACCTTCAATTTGAGCTTAGGCCCCATTAAAGCCCAAGTGTTCAAAAGGGTATTTATGTATTTCCCTAAAATAGATTTTTTTTTACCTTCCTTCCCCTTTTCTAGGGTTCTTATTTTGTGTACGAATCGTTCTTTAATTAGCTGTGAAATTTTCTGCGAGTCCTTCTAGCAAATCGAAGATCTTAAACCACCTCAGACGACGCCATGTACGGACCCAGAGGGTAAGTTCGTGAAACCCCAATTTCTTTTTAGTTTATTTAATTTTGGGTTGGTGTTCTTGATTGGAACTGATTTTTTATTGGAATTTGAATAAATAATTGAATATAAAACGGGAAAAATACATATCTCCAAATTATATTTAGGATTAGATTCCACTTTTTAAAGAAGCTTTGTTCCGAGAGCTAATATCAGGGGTGAATTCGCTTTTCGTTCGTTTTTTAGTGGAATTAGGGTTTTCTATGCTCTGATTTTGTGTTGGGCTTTGAGAAAATAATTGAATTAAATTGAAGATAAAACAGGAGATTTTCGGGTTTTCAAAATTTCTGTTAAGACCTTATTTCATGGGTGAATTTGATGTTATTTGCCTTTCTGTATGATGAATTTCCTTTTACTTTATGAAATGAAACATAATAATTGGGATTATACTTGCGTTATTTTGTATCATGATATGAATCTTAATGCGTTAACGAAATCGTTTGTATAAGATGTAAAAAGGCATGATTTTGGTTCTTGTGAATATAATAAAAAGAGATTATGCCCCATGGTTTGAATTATATGCATGATTTCTTTTATGTTTACTGTTTGAAGGAGGGTTGTGAATATGGAAAATGTTTTTAGAATACATGAACTTAGGAATTTAAGAAATTAGGTATTTGGGGAGTGTGGGTTGGGTTTGGATTTATTAACAGGTTTAGTGGGGGATTTTCTTTTTTTGCTTGTTTTGGGTATGGATAATTGAAGGGCAATGTTGGGAAGCGGGGGGGTTTCGGACGGGTACGAGGTCGGCTCAAAGAGACAAAGAATGATGGAATCAACTCCCTACTTCGCAGTGAACAGCAGTATGGGCGGCTATCGACCTTTTGGTTATGGTGGTGGTTACCAGCCACCTGTCTTTCCTGTAGTCCGTCTGAGGGGTCTTCCTTTCAACTGCACTGACATCGACATCTTCAAATTCTTCGCTGGACTGGACATTGTTGATGTTTTGCTGGTCAACAAGAACGGAAGGTTCTCTGGAGAGGCCTTTGTCGTCTTTGCTGGGTCCATGCAGGTGGAGTTTGCTTTGCAAAGAGATCGGCAGAACATGGGACGTCGCTACGTTGAAGTTTTCCGGTGCAAGAGGCAAGACTATTATCATGCCGTGGCTGCGGAGGTGAATTATGAAGGAATCTATGATAATGACTTCCATGGAAGCCCCCCACCATCTCGAGCAAAGAGATTCAACGATAAGGATCAAATGGAATACACCGAGATACTCAAGTTGCGTGGTCTTCCCTTTGCGGTGAAGAAATCAGAAATCGTCGAATTCTTTGGAGATTTCAAGATCGTCGAGGATCGTATTCATATTGCATGCCGCCCCGATGGGAAAGCTACTGGAGAGGCATATGTGGAGTTTGCCTCAGTTGAAGAGGCAAAAAGAGCAATGCGCAAGGATAAGATGACAATAGGGTCTCGGTATGTGGAATTGTTTCCTTCAACACCGGACGAAGCTCGACGGGCTGAATCGAGATCGAGGCAGTAATGCGGTACTGTTATTTGTGTCATTCTAGCCAGAGATGCATCTCCCCTGGATTTCTATGGGGTAATCTTATGTGTCTCAAATATCATCTCTAATGCCCATTAGGTTAAATATGATTAGCATGTTGTTTTACTTACCTTTCTAAGATATTTGAATTTTGGCTTTAAGAATATAACAATATATTCAGATAAATGTGGACTTTTTACCTTTCAGTTCAGGTTCATGATTATATTATATCGAAATTAAGGTTGAATCAAGACGGATGGGGACTCTTAAATTTCGGACCGGAGCGATAAAAAAATGATCGGTTTTGAAAAAGATGTGATATTTTTTATTAATAATCGAACTTAGTTATGTCGTCCCTTACAAGTTCACGGATAAATTCTGGACAAATGTAACGGAAAGTGAACGGTTCATTACAGTCGAAGCCGAAAGAAGCTAAAGCATGGGCAACTCTATTGCACAACCTATGAACGTAGCGAACTTGCACATCTTCAAAAGAATTCATCAACTGTTTTGCCTCTTCAAGAACTAAGCCCAGTATGGAGAAATCTGGCAATTTGCTCTTCAATTTATTGACCACGGCGAGTTCATCGGATTCAATAATGACTTTCTTGAATCCGTTCGAACTAGCAAACCGTAATGCGTGGATCACGGCCTGTGCTTCTACAAACTCGGCCGAGTGGGCTTCTCGTATAAAATGTGCTCCCCCACCCTGCAAAAAACCTGCATTATTACGAAGAACAAAGCCGACAGCCCCACAACGATCCTCGACCCGGAATGCACCATCCACGTTGAGCTTCAACACCGGGAAGCTTGGAGGGCACCATCGCACAACTTTTGGCCCCAAGGGAAGGAAAGATCTTGTATGATTGTGACCATGGTATTCCTCTTGAGGATCACTCCTCTCCTTTCCAGAAGCCACCGGTGACTCAATGGATTTTCCCTACATTAACAAAAGCATTATGAACATTCTAAAGTTCCCAATGTAAACTGATAAAGCATTACAAGCAAATGTCCTATCTTTAAAGAAAGAGTGAGGGCCGTACGTACCTTTTCAATAGAGAGCAGTGATGTTTCAGGTTGGGAGACTAAATGCCCGAATATCTCCGTCTTTCTGCAGCAATTTGTAATAAACTTTTTTAGCACCGGCGATGCGATTCTATGCGTTCCTGGATAGAAACATGTGAGGTTTGGTAGATTCCAAAGCCCAACGAAGGACAACTGAATAAATTCAAACCAGATTTCCCGTTCTTCACCTTCAACCTTCTTTGAAACAATCTCCTCCACCCCACAGCTATCAACCCGCAGGCTTTCAAGTAGCTGAAGATCTTTGGCTATCGAAAATGGGAACAGAGTTTTCAACCTCCAACACTCCCAAACAAATGCTTTTCGAAGATTTCCGAACGAAACACATCCATTGGGATCTTTGTTCCAAACATGCTTCAACTTTGGCAAGCAAATGAGATTCACTTCTCTTAATTGACTGCCCACCACATTTGTTTCTTCAATATCTGAACCATGGACTTGGGGTTGGAACACTTCTTCTAGTGAAGCACAATCAGTTACTGTTAGTATTTCCAACCTTCGAAAAACTTGCGACACAAGAAATGGAAAGATGTTGGACAATGCATCGCAGCACTCAACTTTCAACTCTTTTAGCTTAGAAAAAGAATCGGCATGAAGTTGATTACACCATATCCTCTTCACATTTCTCAAATAAGAAATAGCGATTTTCTCCAATTTTGGGAAAATAACCTACATAACAATCCATTATAAAAATTTAATTAATTTTGTTTTTCAATAAAATGCATTGATAAAGACGAGTCAGTTAAGGGTTACTTATCACTTAACAGAGAAAAGATTATCATCATTAATCTTTGTTTCATATAGCATTATATCCTTTAAACAACTAAGAATTTAAACTTGTTACTTCTATTATTAGTTTGGATTGGAGATGGTTAAAAAAATTGAGTATTTTTTTTATAAAAATTTGAGGTCTCATTAAAAAACCCCATTCATACTTGTATACTTGTAGGCATACCTTTTGAACAATATATTTATATTCAACACTAAATTTTGAGTAAATACCATATATTTTATACCATTCAAACTCAATACTTATTGGATTCAAAATTAAAAGTTTATCAATCTAGGTTAAAGTTCTAATCCAATTCAGTGAATTCCCTAATTGAAGCCATGAACCAGGAATATATATATATATATATATATATGGATAGGAACCACTTTAACTCTGTGTCAGATTCCAATATTCTAAATAGGGAAATCTGGTTGTATTAGCTAAGATTATGTAAATATGTTAGTGATTGTAATCCCTAACTTTAAGGGATTATTTTAGGTCAAACATTCCTAGAATTTGTCTCTTTCCTTATTTAAGAGTTTCCTAACTTAGGATTACTATGTCTATATAAAATGTAAAATTCCTATTGTAAAAATCAATCGAATCAGGTCATTTTGACATGGTATCAGAGCTTTTTTAGCTCAATTTTGGGAGATTTTTTACTCGTTTTATTGACAGTCTCTTCTCTCCCAATTTGCCTTTGAATCGATAAGAATTTGTTAAAAAAGGACATGGCTAAAGGCATTGAAACCAATAACATTGAGGCTACTTCAGAAGTCTCGAGTAATAGAGGAAATCACTCAATTTCAACAAGTGATTTGTAAAATATTCAGTTAGTTTATAGACTAAATGGGCAACCAAAGGGACAAGGGCAGGCACACATAGCAAAACAACAAAGTGGAGAGAGCAATTCTCAAGAATCACCTGTTGAGTTAAATAGAGAAGAGATTGAGAAGCTAAAGAGCCTGCTAAGATCACTGAAAAAACAATCTTCAACGGGTACTTGCGATTTAGCTTTTTCAGGTATATCGTTTTCTCAACCTTTTAAAGCTTCGGATATACCCACCAAGAGGTCTTGGGTCATTGACTCAGGAGCCACCTACCATATGACTCACTCTTCACAAAACTTTACTTCATATACACCTTGTCCTAGTAATAAAAAAATAATTGTTGTTGATGGTTCGATAATTACAGTGGATGGTCAAGGAGATGTTGTAAGCAAAACCTTACCCTTAAATATGTCCTCCATGTTCCAAAGTTGTTTACTAATCTTCTCTCTATCTGGAAAATTATCAAAGATTCTAACTGCAACGTGATTTTTTACCCCACTCGATGTGTTTTTCAGGAACAGGGTATAAGGAGGATGATTGAACATGCTAAGGAAATAAATGAACTATACCATTTTGAAGAATCCAGTGGGCAAGTTAGTGTTCTGAATTCCTTACCATTATCCTTCCTTCCCAAATATGTTAAAACAAATAAAGAGCAAATTTGGCTTCACCACCTTCGCTTTGGCCATCCATTTTTTACGGTCCTTAAAATCATGTTTCCTTCATTGTTCAAAGAGTCAAAAGTTAAAAACTTTCATTGTGATATTTGTGAACTCGCAAAACACAAATGTACTTCTTTTCCAGCAAGCAATAAAAGAATTTTCTTTCATTTCACTCTTATTCATGGTGATGTATGGGGATCATCTTCTATTCCAAATATTTTTGGGGCTCGATGGTTTGTATCATTTATTAATGATTGTACCCGTGTGACTTGGGTATTCCTCCTAAAACAAAAATCAGATGTAAGTTCTACCTTCCAAACCTTTTACAACATGATTAAAACCTAATTTAGGACTGAAATTAAAAGGGCCCGATCTGACAATGCCAAAGATTACTTCAACCAAGTCTCTCGCCTTATTTTCGAGAAAAGGGGGTCATACATGAGTCTTCTTGTGTCAATACACCCCAACATAATGGTGTCACCGAGAGAAAAAATGGTCATATTCTTGCCACCACAAAGGCTCTCTTGTTCTAGAAAAATGTTCCTAAACAATACTGGGGGAAGTTGTCTTTACTGCCACTTACATGATAAACAGACTGCTTACAAAGGTCCTTGAGTCTCAAAGCCCTATGCAAGCTTTAACCATGTTCTTTCCTAATTTCAATACCTCAAATAATCTCATTCCCAAAATATTCGGTTGTGTGACCTTGTCCATGTACATTCTTAAAATAGGGGGAAACTTGATCCATGGGCAATCAAATGTGTATTTCTTGGTTATTCTTCCACCCAAAAAGGGTACAAGTGTTACTATCCTCCCACAAAAAATACTTTGTATCTACTGATGTTACTTTTATCGAAGGAGAAAATTACTTCACCCATCGTTATCTTTAGGGGGAGATCTCATTCATAGAAAATAAGGACAAAAATCTCTTCCTTCTTAATTTTTCAGAACCTACAATACCTAACCACCACCAGCCCCTTACTACTCACCATCCTACCAGCCAACCTGAACCAGTCCAAGTTACAGATATACAACCCGAGACAGAACCTAACCAAAAGCAACCCCTTATTACACACCAACATGCACCAGTCCAAGTTGAAGCCATACGACCCGAGACAGAACCTTATACCCCAAAAACAAAGCAAAAGGTTCAGGATACTACTTGCCCTCTACTGGTTTATTCAAGAAGAAAGGTACAAGAGCATGTTCAATCATCATTCTCTCCTACACAACCCGAGGTAATTACTATTGAACCTAATCCTAATAATGATAATATTACTGCCACTGAAAATCATGATTTAAATGATTTTCCTATTGCTATTAGAAAAGGAACCAGAGCTAGCACAAAACATCCTTTATACTTATTCATGTCATACAAAAACTTATCCTCCAACCATAAAGCCTTTCTTGCTAATCTAAACTCTATTTTCATTCCCAAAACTACATCCGAAGCTTTAAAAGATGAGAATTGGAAAAATGCTATGAAAGTTGAAATGGAAGCACTTGAATAAGACATGAGACTTGGTGGAGTTGCCAAAGGGAAAAAAATCAGTGGGATGCCAATGGGTGTTCAAAGTAAAGTACAAGTTTGATGGTTCTTTAGATAGGTACAAATCAAGGGTAGTTGCTAAAGGATATACCCAAACGTATGGAATAGACTAACTCGAAACATTTGCTTCCGTTGCAAAGATGAATACTATGAAAGTGTTGTTGTCACTAGTTACTAATCGAGGATGGAAATTGCAGCAATTTGACATTAAAAATGTCTTTTTACATGGCTAGCTTGAGGAGGAAGTCTACATGGATGTCCCACTAGGATTTAGTCCAAATACTGGACATATGGTATACAGGCTAAAGAAGGCTTTATATGGTCTGAAACAGTCTCCGAAAGCTTGGTTTAGAAGGTTTACCAAGGCAATTCTTAAGTTGGGTATAAACAGAGTCAATGTGATCATACTCTGTTTGTAAAACACTCGTCTTCAGGGGGAGTAACAACATTGATAGTCTATGTAGAAGATATTATAGTAACAGGAGATGATTTGGAAGGAATGAAAGATTTGGAGAAATGCCTAGTAAAGAAATTTGAAGTCAAAGAACTCGATAAGTTGAAATACTTCCTTGGCATCGAAGTAGCACATTCTCGGGAAGGAATCTTCATATCTCAGCAAAAATACATTGTTAACCTGTTGACAGAAATGGGCAAGCTGGGATGCAAACCAACAGAGACTCCTATAGAGGTCAACCATAGACATGGAGATGCATTAGGAAAAGCAGCAGTTGATAAAAGTTCCTATCAGAGGCTAGTGGGAAAGCTCATATACTTGTCACATACTAGGCCATATATTGCCTATGCAGTTGGTGTGGTAAGTCAATTCATGCACAACCCCAATGAGTCACATCTTAGGGTTGTGTACCAGGTCCTACAGTGCTTGAAGGGCATGCCAGACAAAGGAATCTTATTTAAAAAATGGGAGAAGCTAACTATTGAAGCATATACTGATACAGTTAAGTAGAGTCTATAGTTGATAGGAGATCAACCTCAGGCTATTGCATTTTCCTAAGAGGCAACCTTGTGACTTGGAAAAGTAAAAGACAAAATATCGTGGCTAGATCCAGTGCAAAGATTGAATTTAGGGAAATGACACTTGGGATTTGTGAATTGTTATAGCTAAAAATTATTTTAGAAGATCTAAAAATCAAATGGGAAGGTCCAATGAAGCTATATTGTGATAATAAGTCTACTATCAATATTGCACACAATCCAGTGCAACATGACCGTACAAAGCTTATTGAAGTTGACATACATTTCATAAAAGAGAAACTTGACAGTGGCCTAATTTTCACTCCTTTTGTGTCCATTGATGGCCAACTGATAGATGTACTCACCAAAGCGTTGTCTAGGAAGTGTTTTCAGAAGTTAGTAAGCAAGCTGAGAATGGATGAAATCCACTTCCCATTTTGAGGGGGAGTGTCAGATTCCAGTTTCCTAAATAGGGAAATCTGGTTGTATTAGCCAAGATTATGTAAATATTTTAGTGATTGTAATCCCTAACTTTAAGGGATTACTTTAGGTCAAACATTCCTAGAATCAATCTCTTTCCTAGTTTGAGAGTTTCCTAACTTAGGCTTACTATGCCTATATATCAAGTGTAAAATTCCTATTGTAAAAATCAATCGAATCAGGTCATTCTGACAGTATGTAAAAGTCTTTAGTTTTACACTGATTTAGGATCATAAAAATGAATGTAAATGGATAATTGAAATTAAAGAGTTTTACACGGATTAAACAATGTAAAACTAAAGAGTTCTACACAGTGAAACTGAATTCTACCCCTTCTCTATATAATGATATGAGAGAAATGTGAAGAACTACAAATCAAATATATAAATATTTCATTAGGGGAAGAAAAAAAAGCTAACCTTGTCGGAGAAAAATGTAGCAACATTATCATCTTCATCACCAAATATTGCATCTTCTCCCCCGTTTTTGAAGAATGTAGAAACAAAGGTAGCCATGTTCGGACAGTCGGCTACCATAATTTCTTTCAAGGATGGACATTCAAGAGTTGCACTTCCCAGGTAAAAGCTAGTCATATGTGAACATGCCTCCACATGAATGGACTGTAGACGAGGGAATATGCTAACGATTTTATCACCATCTGTTATGATTGGTTCCTCAACCACTGTGATCGAACTCTCTTCTCTAATGACTTGCTCCATATTACTGCATCTCTTGATTTCTATTTGTTGGAGTCGTCTCAGGCTCAAGGCCATAGAGAGGTCAAAGATATATCTCAAGCTGTTGGAATCACAGACCTCCAGAAATCTAAGATTTCTAAAATCCAACATTTCTTGCGGATTCCTGCCCCATATGTCTATCAGCTCCGGAAATTCCGAGAACTTTAAAGCTTTTAGGCCACGATATTCGACCTGAATAGCAACACATCAAAAAGTTAAACTTTGGTACCAACATATTTAACAGAAGCCCTACAAGACTGGTGAAAATAGATTCTGCAAAAGATAATAAAAAGCATATGTTCTTCAGTAGATTTTCAATCATTACCGGTTTTTTGTATAATGGCTCCACAGTGGCATTACGGTCCCCAGCCAACCGTGCCCTAAAATCTGCTTCTGTAATAATAAAGAGTCGCATATCATTAAATATATATTTCTATGAAATAAATTTAATTACATTGTACCTTGTGTGTATAACTGTTTAATGGTGGCATTAAGGTCACCAACCCAATCTCTCCTACTAAAACCTCTTCCTGTATGTTGAACCCCACGTAGCTTTGGTGTGTCTAAAGCTCCATGGCAAAAACTCTTCAGTGAGGGACATTGACTCACTGTTACTTGAAGCAATGATGGGAACCTCATAGCGTTATATCCTGAACAGAAGCTTTTGAGGTTTTGTAAATAATGAAGCTCCAAACATTTCAACTTCATGAAAACAATCTCATGATATGTTGCATCATCTCCAGCGCTTCCAATCACTTCTCTCATTGACTCACATTCTGTTATCTTTAGTGTAACGAGCCGCTCCAAACTTTGGGCTTTCGAAGATGTAATCAACTCTACCAACTCTTTGCATTCCCAAACATCCAAAGTTGTAAGATTTTGAAAAGATGAGGAAGCACATGATAAATTACTTAAGCTGCCACATTCATAAACTTGCAGAGTTTCAAGATTTACACACATGTGGTCAAGGGGAGAGCCTTGGTTCCATAGATGTGTTATATTGTCAAAATCTTGCAATTTTAACTCTTTAATTCTTGGCAGCATCATTATCACGTCTGTTTCCTGACCAGCACCAGCACCTTCGTAAGGAGAAAACTCTTCAAAATCGAAAGAAACCATCTCAAGCATTTCCAAATTGGAAAATCTTTGGAGGAAATGAAACGGAAAAACTGCTGATTCATCTAGGTAGTCGGTAACACGAAGACATTTTACATTGCAAAACGACTCTATCGCAAACTGACCATCACTTATCATTGCAATGTCGTCACTAGTAAATGAAACTTCTTCCAGTTGAGGGATGATCTGAGTAATCATCAAACCAAAAACCAATGATATGATAGTGATTATTTAATTTTCTTTTTATTTCATAGATGATTCAAGTAAAACATATGAAATATATTAAATAAATGGTGAAGGGTCATACCTGTTCAATGATGAACAATGGTCTTGGGAGTTGGGACTCTACATGCCCAAATATCTTAATCTTCCCACACCAATACGTGCTCAACTTCTTTAATGCAGGCCATACTGTTTTATGCGTTCCTGGGTAGAAACAGATAAGGTTTGGTAGATTCCAAAGTTTAAGGAAAGATAACTCACTAAATTCAAACCGAATTTCATGTTCTACTCCTCCATCAATCTTTGAAACAATCTCCTCCACGCCACAGTTATCAACAATAAGGCTTTCGAGTTGTTGAAGATGTTTTGCTAATGAAAACGGAAACAGTGTTTTCAAACTCCAACACTCCCAAACATCTACTTTTCGTAGATTTTCAAAATAAAGATATCCACTAAGATCCTTGTACCAGATATGCTTCAACTTTGGCAAGCGAAAGAGATTCACTTCTCTTAATTGACACCCCCCTGCATTAGTTTCTTCAATATCTAAGCCATGGACTTGGAGTTGGAACACTTCTTCTAGTGAAGAACAAGAATTTACCGTTAGTATTTCCAGTCTTTGAAATACTTGCAGCAAAAGAAATGGAAAAATATTCAACAACCCATCGCAGTACTCAACGTTCAACTCTTTTAGCTTAGAAAAAGAACCCGCATGAAGTTGATTATTCCATATCCTCTTCACATTTCTCAGATGAGAGATTTTGATCTTCTCCAAATTGGGAAAACCAACCTATAATACATTATCATTTTCAAATGATTATAGAACTATGCTTTGATCTTCAACAAATTCAACAATATAGTCTTCATGGTAAAGTACCCTACAGGTCATTGAACAATGCTCAAATGATCGTTTAGGTCGTTGAACTTTCAAAAGTTGCAAAATTATCATTAAATTTATTGAAATGTTACAAAATAGTCACTGCAATGGTATAATAAATTATAAAATTTCGATAAATTAAATGACTATTTTGTAACTTTCAAAAGTTCAATTACCTCTGGTGTACTTTAACCCAAAATGAAAAGAAAACTAACCTCGATGGAGAAAAATGTAGCGTCATTATCGGTTTCATTACCAACGATTGCTTTATTGTCCTCGTTTTTCGAAAAAGTAGAAACAAAGGTAGTCATGATTGGACAGTCAGATACCATAATTTCTTTCAAGGATAGACATTCAAGAGCTGAACTTCCCAGGTAAAAGTTTGAAATATTTGAACAGGACTCCAAGACAATGGACTGTAGATGAGGAAATATGCTAATGATTTTATTACCATCTGCTATTATTGCTTCCTCGGTCACTACTGTATTTGAATCCTCTTCTTTGATGACTTGTTCCATATTACTGCATCTCTTGATTTCTACTTGTTGAAGTCGTCCTAGGCTCAGGGCCATAGAGAGGTTAAAAATGCATCTCAAGTTGTTAGAATCACAAACCTCTAAAACTTCAAGACTTTTAAAGTCCAAAATTTCTTGAGGATTTCTACTCCATACGTCTATCAGCTCCGGGAATTCTGAGAACTTCAAATGCTTCAGGTCACGATATCCAACCTAAGTAGCAGCATATCAAAAAGTTAAACTTGTCATCATGTTTAACAAGAGCCCAAGTGCCCAACAAAGCTATGATGCAAATAAATTATGTAAAATATAATTAACTGTATATATTCTTCAATGAATTTTGCATCAGTACCTGTTCTTTGTATAACTGTTCCACAGTGGAATTCAGGTCCCCAGCCCACCGTCCCTTGACATCTGTTTTTGTTAGCTGTACTTTCTGCAGTTTTGGCATGCTCAACATTCCTTGATAAAAGGTGTTCATTTTAGGACATTTGCTCAAAATGACTTGTTCCAAAGAAGGAAACGTAAATGTATGATTTCCTGAACAGAAGCTTTTGAGGCTTGGTAAACAAAGAAGCTCCAAACGTTTCAACTTTCTGAAAACAATCTCATATGTTGTTTCATCCCCTTTACTTGCAACCACTTCCCTCATCGTTTCACATTCTTCTATCCTCATTGTCACAAGGCACACCAAACTTTGGGCTTTGGAGGATGTGATCAGCTCTGTCATCTTTTTGCATTTCCACACATCTAGAGTTGTAAGATTTCGCAAACTTGAAAAATATGATCCTAAATTGATCAAGCTGTGACATTGCCAAACTTCAAGGCTTTCAAGTCTTGCAGAAACATGATCCTCTTGCGTCCATACAAGTTGTGGGTTGCAAACATAATCCAGTTTCAAGTTTTTAATATTTGGGAGCATGATAATCACGTCTTTGTCCTCACCTGCATTACCTTTGTAAGGAGACAACTCTTTGAAATTGCAAGAACCCACCACCTTAAGGGTCTCCAGATTGTAAAATCTTTCAAGGAAACGAACTGAGATAACACCCCATTCATTGAAGAGGCTTCTAACGTGAAGATGTTTTATATTGCAAAACATGTTTGCCTCAAGCTGAAGGTGATTTATCATCGCAATATCACCAAAGTTAAACGAAACTTGCTCCAATTGGGGGATAACCTAATGAATCAACAAGAAAGAACAATGAGATGATATATGTATAAACAGATTGACTTATATTAGGATGATCCTAAAAACATTAGTTTCCAGGCACCAATGAAATAATGTCATGTTATACATTTTTAAAGGCATTAAATTATTATTATACACTCATCTATAACCAAATCCTCTCCAACCCAATTAACTCTAATTAGAAAATTATTCAAATTTAAATTGAATGCATTAGTTATGAGAGATAGTAGATGGTTCAAGTAAAACAGATGAACTATCTTTAAGGAAATGGTGAAGGGTCATACCTGTTCAGTGATGAACAATGGTTTTGGGAATTGGAACTCAACATGCCCAAATATCTTGATCTTCGGACATGCATATGCCCTTATTTGCTTTAACGCAGGCCATAATGTTTTATGTGCGCCTGGATATAAGCATTTGAGATTTGGTAGTTTCCAAAGTTTAAGGTAAGATAACTGATTAAATTCAAACCAAATTTCATGTTCTACTCCTCCATCAATCTTTGAAACAATCTCCTCCACTCCACAGTTATCAACAATAAGGTTTTCAAGTTGTACAAGACGCTTGGCTATTGAAAATGAAAACAGAGTTTTTAAACTCCAGCAATTCCAAACATATACTTTTCGTAAATTTTCAAAAGAAAGATTTTCACTGAGATCCTTGTTCCAGACATGCTTCAACTTTGGCAATCGAAAGAGATTCACTTCTCTCAATTGACTTCTCACCACATTTGTTTCTTCAATATCTGAACCAGGGACTTGGAGTTGGAACACTTCCTTTAAGGAAGCACAATCAGTTATTGTGAGTATTTCCAGTTTTTGAAATACTTTCCGTAGAAGAAATGGGAAAATATTCGACAAAGCATCGCAGTACTCAACTTTCAACTCTTTCAAATTTGAAAATGAATCCGAACGAAGTTGGTCATACCATATCCTCCTCACATTTCCTACATGAGAAATTTTGATTTTGCGCAGGTTGGGAAAAGCAACCTATAATGCAGAATTCATTCCAATGGAAACAATCATTAGAAGAGTTAAATTGAAAGAGAGATAAAAGGGGAAAATGTATAGCGTAGAAACGAGTACCGTTTTATTGAATAAAACACAATCAGTTGGGAAATCTTTGCTCATGGAGTTATGGATGAATCCCTTCAACTCCGGACAGTTTTCTATCTCAATAATCGTCAAGGTTGGGAATTCAACAGTATAATCTTCATGGCAAAATCCGATGAGCTTCTCAAGACCCTTCAATTTGAGGGACTTCAATCGAGAGAAACATATTACGAGAGCTCTGTTTCGAGATGCTTCTTTCATTGATATTATCTCCCGTATGCACTTACATCCACTTATTTCCAAGGATTTGAGCTGCTGCAGATATTCAGCCATAGAGTCGGATAGCACGTGCTTTAAGTTGGTGCAGCCCTCGATGATCAAGCTCGTCAAATTATGAGTTGAACAAAACGCTTGGGGAGCCCATATTCTTTCCATGCTAATTGAGGATAGTTTCAACTTCTCCAACTTTGGAAACAATATCTGCACACATGTACTTGTTAACTTACCAGATCAAATCTTTTTTTTTTGGAATGAGAACTTGCAGAAATGAGACAAAAATGCAAACATTGGGAGAAGAAAAGGAATTAAATACCTTTTGGTTGAAAAGGGTCATTTCCTGTGGCTGTGGAGATATGGAAGTTGAACCTTTATTTCTGGAGCAAAAGCTAATGAGGTTAGGCAGACCCTTAAGCGTCAAAGACTTGAGTTGAAGAAATTCAATTCCGTGAACATCATCATTATCTTTCAGGATATATCGGATCAACGCACCATTTTCAATATGCAAATTCTTCAACTGTTGAAAATAATCCCTATACTCATCATGAGACAACATCTCCACACCTTTCACTTCATCTATATATAAATTCTCAGCTTTCTTTATTAGAACTTTGATCCCGTTATTCAGAAAGCTAAGGCGTGTCTGTAGGTTGAGCCTTACTGTCTTGGAATATTCACAAACAAAGTTGCAATCCCAAACCCAATCCCAGTCACTAGCTTCTACCATGAAAATAAGGTATCTTTGCAACTTTCCAAAGAATAAATCTTTGGGAATAGTGTTTGCATTAGGGATATGAATTTCTAAAGCTGTTAAACAGGTTAAAGCTTCTAATTCGGCAAGGCTAGAATTGCTTTGTTGACTAGAGTGTCCCTCTGCTCCCCATTCAACGAAACTGTTGCGCATATAAAGTTCTTCTAATCTATACAATTTGCAGAAGACCCCAAGTGGAATTCTTTTGAGTTTGGAACAATCACGTAAATCTAACCACTTTAGCTTAGTCAGTTGCCCTATTTCTTCGGGCAGCATTTCAATATCAGAACCCACAAGGCATAGAATTTCCAGATTCTTGAGCTCCCCAACAAGGGAAATATCTCCCAACACACAACAAAACAAGCATAATGTTCGAAGGTTTGCTAGCAAGGAAATTGATGAAGGCAAGGACGGGAAGTTCATGTCAGCCAAAATTAGGACTTTAAGATTTTCCATATCCTTAAAGAAGTTTGATGGTATTTTCACCCGAGGATCCTTGCTACCCATACAGAAAAGAGTAAGCTTTGAACATTTCAACTGATCAGGAAGCATGCTGATACTAGCATACCGCAAACTAATTTTGTTGCACTCTTTCATTGCTTCGTCATCTGGCCAATCATTTAAAACATCCCCGTGTTTTAAAACAAACGCATGGTTGCATTTAGAAGCGATTGACACAGCCACATCACAAATAAGATCATGCATATCAAAGCGGTGATCGCTATAGCTATCAATCAACAGACAAGAGGCTTTTAGATGACTCACCACTGTCAACATTCTGTTCCGTGTTTCTTCAATTGTGTTGACACCACGAAATATCCCTAACCCAATCGAACACATGAGCAACTCATCCAAGTAAGCACCATGCCCCATTAGACTGCAAAGCAAGAAAGTCTGTTTATGTTCTTCAGTTGGTAAACGATCATAGCTCAATTCTATAGTTGAATATGCATCTCGTGGTACTCCGCTGAAGTTGCTTGACGATGGCCTGTTTAGTTGGCGCAAAGCATCCACCCATTCAAACAAAGGCTCATCTCTCAAAGACAGTGCAAGTGTTCTAATGGCGATTGGTAGACCGCCACATTTTTTAGCCACCTCCGTAGCTACAGGTGACAAATCTGGTCTTTCGACACCGTCCCCTGCCATCTTCTTGAAGAAAGCCCAAGCTTCTTCGTCTTCTAAAACTCCGATCGCAAAGCTTTTTTTAGCATCCATACCCTTGGACAGAACACGAAGATTTCTGGACGTCAGCAGTATGGTGCATCCCTGATGCTCATCTCCCAAAGGAATCCCCATTTCCATCAGGTCCAATCTTTCCCAAATATCATCTAAAACAACAAGAATCTTCTTCTCTTTCGTCAACCTTTGGCACAATCGACTTGCTCTTCCACTCGCACTCTGCTCCTCAAATTTCAATCTCAACATATCTGCAATCTGGTCTTGGATTTTCAGGATGTCAGGGGTATGAGTCACAACAGCAAAAACCACCGAGTCGAATACCTTATCCTCTTTGACTTGTCTTATAACTTCTTTAACAAGCATGGTCTTGCCAACGCCAGGCATTCCGTGCACCCCTACAATGTTGACATTAGGATCTTTCACCGCCTCCATGATGTAGTTAAACGACTGCTTTCTTGATTCAAAGTCCTCAAAATCTCTAGGTAAATCCACAATGGGTCGTGGGACACCGGGATATGATATTCTGTCAAATCCACCTTGCCGGAGGAGTTCATCAACAACACTAGCTTCTTCTATAGCTTTCTTGCAAAGCTGATAGCGAGCCTTGAAATTAGGGCACAAGCCGACGAAACACTTGTTGGCTGCTTCGTCTTCAAGACCCTTAACTTCGTCATACTTCGAATTGATAACGTCGCCGGCTTTAATCAGCCAGCTCTTGACGTCGGGGTATACAACGTCGCCGTTCTTTTCGGCAGCATCAACATCCAGCAGCACTCTGTCTCTCTTTCCTTTCAACATCTCAACTTTATCCTCGAAGTCCGAGACCGTCTTTCTATAGTTGCGCACGTAGCTGAAGCCAATTTTGATTTTCTGGAACACGAATCCGGCAACACCAGTAACAACGTTGCTGGCGCTGCCTGTAGTAATCTCCATTTTCAAAAGTCAAGTAATGAAAGGGTTTATTTTGTGAATCAGGAGGGAAAGGAGTAAAAGTAGCTGAGATCTGAAATAGAGGAGAATTACCTGAGATTTATTCAAACAAAGATGATGCAAGAAAATTACCAGGAAACTGCAATGGCAACTCTTTATCGATTTAAATAATATAAATCCTCATTTCATACACTTTCTATTAAAAAGTCTATTAATTTAAACCACAAACACATCATTATTCAAAGTCAACTCTCCACACGGTATCACCATCAACAAGCTTCCATTGACTTAACTGAATGATAGAAATTATGCTGTACTTACACGGATAAAGGGACGGATTAGGGGACGAGGACCGAAAACGGTAATTTAAGGTGCGGAGACAGTAAATGTACTATATATAAATAAAATTAAAATTATAAATAAATGTAAAATCTCAAGATTCGATCATAATATTAACTCTAAAACAATAAAATATATGTATAAACTATAATATTAAGTCTAAAACAATAAAATTCATAAATAAATCATAATATTAAAGTATCAAATCTCAAGATTCGAACCACAATATTAAGCATACAACAATATTAAACAACAAAAATCAAACATTGATAATGATAGTTTAAAATCATTTTTAATTCCAATGAAGAGAATTGATTTGATAAAAAAAAAGTTCAATCAAAATAAGCACTTCAACATGCTAATTTGAACTAAACACATTGGAAAACAACATTTAAACCGGACTATGCACACTGAAAATTAATCGGACTAAGCACATTGTTTTTAACCGAATTAAGCTTCAAGACTGAAAAACATACTAATTTGAACTAAGCTTCAAGACTGAAATTACATTGGGGCATTTTTCAAGTTCCAAGAGATGGAAAACTAACAAGCAATAAAATAAGAAAAAGAACACAGAAAAACCATTTTATGAAAAGTTTTTCAAGCTTTTCAAAGCTGCTTACCTCCTCCCTTTGTCAGTCGGTTCTCCATTGCCCAATGCCCACCTTGTTCCAAATCCGTGATAGTCATGTGCTTCTCAAATGCCCACCTTGTTTTCCTTTGCCCAATACCCACCTTGTTCAAGCGAAGAAGAGGCGCAAATGCTAATATTATCGTCCAATGCTTCTCAAAATTAGGTTTTGTTTTTTAAAATTTTTTAATGCAAAATTCTAAAATAACCCCTGGGACGCATGTGATAGTCACATGCCGTCCTTGAAACGTCCCCTGATAAACATTTGCCATCTCCAGTTCGGTGAGCCGTATCCCACCACCATAGCACGTCCCTGGGACGTTCCCGTGTCGTTCTCCTGCCGGGATGTATCGGGTACTTGAAACGTGGAAGAAGTACGTCTCCGTGCTTCTTAGGAAATTATTATACAAAGGAAGTGATTGACCAAAACTGATAAGAAAAAATGAGGGAAAAACCAAGCAAAATTTCTAAATCTGGGGAAAAAAGAGCATAACTCTTTCTTCTCAATGTTCTTCGTTTGTGCATTATCTGGACAGCTAAAATATGAGCATTTGAAATCAATTTGGAAATTAATAAACGCAAAAAAGAAACTAATAAAAAACTCCAATTCTTTTAAAATACGGATTGAACTTCCCCTTTCTTAGTTCAACAAATTGATTAATAAGATAAAAAGAGTAAAGTGGTTCTGAGCTGAGGCTTGGATCAGAACACTGAGTTACTCGTCGAGGTTTCATTTGACATACCGACGGGAGGTATTCTCCTGACGGAGCGTCTTGGCTTCCTTCGCAGCTTTCGTGAAGACGAGTGAGGCTAAGATTGTGCCGATTTTCGCATGAGGATGGCAGAGTGCGAAGACAGGGCGGCGACAATAGAGGATGATGTGGTGGGGGGAAATGTAAATTCCATGGCTTAGGTGATCTTTCAGTTGTTTGATTGTGTTGGCATTTTAACAAACACATGGTGGGCATTCTAGGCTGAGCTCGATTCACACTGAAAATATGACAAAATATAAAATTCAAATGAACACGAAAGCAAAGCAAACATCAATCACGGAGGGCAAAGCATCAAATATACTCCAATTTTCATAACAATTGAACTTATATATCAAAATTTAGTTACCTAAATATACTACTTCGGCTTTATACACTTATCAACTTTCAACATACTCTTCTAAACAAAACTATTGTTAGGGTTTTTTTTAATTAATTTGGGTAACTCAATATTTATTCAAAAATAATTCTCAATCATTTAAAATTAATAGTTCACACCGTTGATATTCTTGATATTCGAATCTAAAACCTTAAAGATTAACAATAATTTCATTACAATGTCATTCAATTCGTTAAATCAAGTTTTTATATAACTCTTTACATGATAGCTCAAAACCAGTTTTCATATAACTCTTTACACAGCAGTTAACCTAACTGCATGGATAACCGTGCTAACAGCTTGCAGCCATTCACACTAGCTAGCAACCATTCACACCACGTGCACAATTACTTTCAACACGTGCATCACACTTTAACATTGTCCCCGCTCCTTCTTCCTTCTCGATTTTTTCAGCCAGACAAACACACAAACTCTTTCTCTGAAAAGTTCAAATGCAGCCTTGGTTAATGGCTTAGTAAGGTCATCTGCAACCTGGTGACACGCAGGGATATAGTTGACCTGAAGCTGCTTTGCTGCCACCTTTTCTCGTACGAAATGAACGTCCATATCCACGTGCTTGGACTAAGCACGGTAAAGCGGATTTTCACTTAAAGCAACTGTGTTGGTGTTATCACACCAAACCACAGGTTCTCCACGCTGTTCGACACCGAAGAGACCCAGGCAACCTCTGCAGCAACATCCGCCACACTCCTATACTCGGCTGCCGTCGTAGATCTAGAGACAATTTTTTGCTATGGTGCACTTATACGGACGGATACGGGGGACTGAGATATGAAATGGTAATTTTTAAAACTATAAGGTACGAAGACAGTAATAGTATGACATGTAAAATAATTTTAAATTATAAATATATATAAAAATAATAAATAAAGTGACTCAAACCACAATATTAAATTTAGAACAATAAAATCCTTAAATTATTTTTCTGACTAAAATTGTAATTATTGTAAATTATGTAACTTTTTTAGTAAACATATAATATTTGAGGAATCTATGAGATTATTCCATTTTATTATAATCATAAATACCTACCTTTATTCTACCTTCATTCTTCTTCCGTCGACTGGCTCTCATCCATCGCCGTCGTGGGTCGTGTTGCAGTCAAAATCACCGTCCCCGGATAAACTTTGATCGTCCCCCAATTCAGTCAGTTGTATTATGCTATCGTGGCACGTCCCCAATACGTACCTCAGTCATCCTCATACCAGAAACGTATCGGGTACTTGAAACGGACCTACTTTGTCGTCCCGTGCTTCTTAGATTTTTTGCTTCCTGGAGCTCCAAATCACCGGACATTTGCCCACAAACACAGTAAGTCTTGACACCGAATGTCGATCATCAGTACTTCCTCCCCAATCTGCATCAGCAAAACTGTAACACTTACAGACGCTCCAGCAACCGGCATAAACGTTAATCCATAATCCAAAGTGTCAACTAAGTACCGAAGTTTATGTTTGACCTGTAGATGCTCGTTTTTGTCCAGGGTCCAATACAAGATTCAAAATGGATTGCAGGACTAAAATAAATATAACAGTTTGCAACACCCAGTTGTCTCTCTTCAACCGTTTCACCTATAACTGCAGCAAATAACCAAGTCAGATTTTTTGGGAGCCAAGTAAGAAGCAATGAGGCAAACGGTTATGGAAAAAGAGGGTAAAAACTTATGGAAACAGTTTGTAAGTGGGGCACGACTTGAAGAGTATTTTGGGGGAAATAAACTGTAAAGAGTTTAGTTTTTAGGATTAACCACTGGAAAAGGAGGACAAAAAAAATAGACGAGAAACAAAGAGAACAAGAAGTGAAGGGAAACTCATTCAAAAACAAAAGCAAAAAAGGCCATCTAAACTAGCAAGGTCTCAGGCAGTGGAATAAACAAAAAAAAACCACCATCAATCATTCATCATAAGTGAGAATAGAGAGCAATTCAACGGGATTAACAGAAAGCAGTAATCATTTCCTTGAGGTATTTTTTTAATCCATTTTCGATTTTTAGTGATTGTGGTGTGTGATTTGTTTCGAAATAATTAGTAAAAACAAAGAAAAATGGGTCGTTTGAGGTTACCATTTGTTGGTGGTCTCTCACTGGAGCCAATGTCGCCGGAGTCGGTGTTCAAATATTGATAGTCGATCGGGAAACCTTGTACATGAGTTAGGGGTTAGAGTCACAAATCCAATCAGAGATTAAAACAGAAAATAGTAAAATAAATTAGAGGATTGAAGCAGTGGTGTTGGGAGGCAACCATCAAGGTTCATAGCAACGATGGGTGTGGGTAAGGGAAAGTGAAGAGTGACGTGAGGTTGGGGATGTTCTGTATGTAGTTAAGTAGGCTTATTTTTTAGTTTAGGTTTTGGTTAAATTAGCTTTTGGTCCCTCAAGGTAAATCCTTTTAAAAAAACAGTCATCTGAAGCGTTAATTTATGAATTTGTTTTTTTTAATTATTTATTTCATTTGTCTCAATTTCGTTATTTTCCAAATTTAGGTTTCAATTGTAATTTTCGGGTTATTCATGTTTAACTCCTTAATGTATATGTTTTTTTTTGTTTTAATCATTGTCTTAATTTTTGATTATGTATCCGACTTTTGTGTTATTCTAAATAAGCCCTTAGTTAAGTTTGCGAATAATTTGAATCTAATCCATGTTTGCTTTTATGTTTCCTTATTTAGTCTCTTAATCATTTCATTTGATTGAATATTATTTAGAACTAAATTTTTATGGTATGTTAATCAATTAGATTAGTTTGTAGTTCTTTAGTTTTATTTTTTAAATAAATATAGTTGTGGATATTTGAATATGTTTTTTAGGTTATTATATTTTACAATTGATCCCTAGATTAGATAACTTTTCTTTTAAAATAATTATGGTTAATTAGAATTTTAGTTT